GCTGGAAGGAATCAAACCCTGTTAGCCTTTAACACGTCTGCTCAGGGACCTGAACCAGTTGTCAGTTTACTACTGGGTCAAGTTCAAGGTGTTACTATTAATATATAAAGCCCTTAACAGTTTGGGACCAATTTACTTGCAAGATCACCTTTCCCCATATATGTCCATTTGACTGCTTCAGTCTGAGGAACTGGCTCTGTTACAGGTGACACATCGTACCTGTTCATCATTTGTAAGAACTTGATATTATAGTGTGGCAGAACCCACCCTTTGGAACTCCCTGTCTATTGCGATCAGGCAGCCACCTTCACTGTGCTCTTTTCAGAGCCTGCTAAAAACATCTTGTGTTGAATTTGCCTTCTTCCACTCATGCAACAATGGATCAAAATGATGGTAGAAAATTGGATACAGAATTACAAGAAAATCAAACGACATCAGCCATGGAGGTTAAGCATCATTAAAAGATAAGGCACCTTGGCTGCAATGCTAAAAGGCCCTTAGGATTTGGTTACATAGCTGAGAAATGCTCAAAGTTTATCTGTTGAAACCACAGCTAAATTTGCTTTTGAAGGCAATGGCCATTTTCCGCAAGGGACTGAAATCATGTTTCTGTTTTCCCTGTGTCTGTAAATCAAAGGCAGACCAATACACTGACTAGAAAGCTTTTGAAATGACTTCTTCCTGTAATGAGCCATCCCATATTTTGCGTGCTGAGTCTGATTTTCATTTCAGTCTTGCCTGGAACCTAATTTTGGAGTCCTCCTGAAGGCTTTCTCCTGGACAAAAAGAACATAGCTTTTTTCCCCACCCCCCATCATCTTGCTTGTTGTTTCTATCAACCATGAACACAGTCTGATACAGCCTAGAGAAATTTCCTTACTCCAAGGGGTGTCAAGTAATCGCTGAGCTGGTTCACATGTAATACTAAGCCAAACTGTTTCTTAGCATGAATTTGCAGGTTCCCAAAGAGGAGACAGCAGTCTCCGAAAAAAAAATTACATATCACTTGGAAAGACAGGCAAACTAATGCCAGTGTACTGGAACAAGCAAAGATCACCAGTGTCAAAGCAATGATTCGTCAGCATCACCTTTGTTGGACTGGTCATGTTGTTTGGGTGCCTGATTATCGTCTTCCAAAGCAACTACTCTATTCTGAATTTTAAAATGGAAAACATAATGCTGGTGGTCAACAAAAGAGGCTTAAAGACCCTCCCAAGGCAAATCTTTAAAAAAATGTAGCATAAACACCGACAGCTGGGAATCACTGGCCTGCGAGCGCTCAGTTGGAGAACAGCCCTACCAAAGGTGTCATGAACTTTGAAGACGCTTGAACTCCACACTTGAACTCTCACACATTCACACTAAGCCATGGTTTGACTTAGCATTGCATGAGAAACCAGCTCAGCATATCCTTCTGGGTTCTATCTAATTGTTCAGTTAGCTAAAATTGCCCCTTGATTGCATAAAGATTTTTTTCTTTGTAATATTCTTCTTTGGCCAGCTTTTCATAAGCCCTTGCCTCTTGCCCTCCTGTGCCTCAATTATTGGTCCATTCATCACCAGGAAAATGGTCAACTTCCTGACACTTCATCCTGAACAATATGTGCTGTGTGGCAGTGGTGACTGGACAGTTGCCCTTCTATGCCCTCAAGCCTTGTTTTGGAAAATAGAATTTGAATTCAAGATTCCTCTAATTTTGAAAGTATGTATGCCTTATGTCTGCATAACCCCTTGGGTTCCAATGTTTACACTTTTCTATCTTGCATTAACAGCATTTAGAAGTGATGCATTTGAGAATAAAGATGTGTGTAGTGTTAGCTGTGGAAAAACCCAGAGTTGATCTTTCAGTCTATCACATTCTCTATTGGAGTGCAGCAGTTGTGAGGACACACACATACATAGAGATAAATATAACTGTGGCAAAAGCAGCATATATATATATATACGCTTCTGCCTCAAGTAACCTGGTCCTGAACTGTATAGAACTTGGCCTGGTAGCAGACTGAGTGCCATTGCAAATCCCACAAGCAAGGTGCTACATGCTGTTAATAGTTTGTCCCACAAGCAACCTAGATGTGACGTTCTGTATCAGCTGCAGCCTCCAAACCAACCCCAAGGGCGGCCGCACATAGAGCAGAGTGCAGTAATCCAGCTGTGGTTGAGCTATCTTGATCCAGGATTGGCTGTACAGTGGTACCTCGGGTTAAGTACTTAATTCGTTCCGGAGGTCCGTTCTTAACCTGAAACTGTTCTTAACCTGAAGCACCACTTTAGCTAATGGGGCCTCCTGCTGCCGCCGCGCTGCCGGAGCACGATTTCTGTTCTCATCCTGAAGCAAAGTTCTTAACCCGAGGTAATATTTCTGGGTTAGCGGAGTCTGTAACCTGAAGCGTATGTAACCTGAAGCGTATGTAACCTGAGGTACCACTGTAGTTGTCTTACCAACCAAAGGTGGCAAAAGGCACATCTAGCCGCATGTGCCTCCAGTGACAGAGCTGGCCCCCTCCTCCCCACCCAACTAGCATGAATCAGCCATGAAAGACAAGGATCCAAAGGTAACGTTATTGGGCACATACTCACAGGCACTCTGTCAATGTCATTAGGTTGCAAAACTTGAAACTGATTGCATAAAACATGGCTTGATGTAGCATTGGAATTTTTGTTTGAGAATGCATCAGTCATGGCATCTAGCTAGCTACAGAGATCGATGACTTCACCCTCAAAATGCCCAACAAGCAACTCTTGGATGGTTTCTAAGGTGTCCTGGGTGCCAACCACTGATATGGATGTCAACAGCAACAGACCACCATGATGATCTCTGCTGGCCATATTCTCGAGGAAGCAGTGAAATAGGCACAATTATGCGCTCTAGTCATCTTTGTAGTGGGACTTCTGCCACCTGTTTTCTAGCCATCATCTGACTACTTGTTGTTGTTTAGTTGTTTAGTCGTGTCCGACTCTTCGTAACCCCATGGACCAGAGCATGCCAGGCACTCCTGTCTTCCACTGCCTCCCGCAGTTTGGTCAAACTCATGCTGGTAGCTTCAAGAACACTGTCCAACCATCTTGTCCTCTGTCGTCCCCTTCTCCTTTTGCCCTCAATCTTTCCCAACATCAGGGTCTTTTCCAGGGAGTCTTCTCTTCTCATGAGGTGGCTAAAGTATTGGAGTCTCAGTTTCAGGATCTGTCCTTCCAGTGAGCACTCAGGGCTGATTTCCTTCAGAATGGAGAGGTTTGATCTTCTTGCAGTCCATGGGACTCTCAAGAGTCTCCTCCAGCACCATAATTCAAAAGCATCAATTCTTCGGCGATCAGCCTTCTTTATGGTCCAGCTCTCACTTCCATACATCACTAATGGGGAGACCATAGCTTTAACTATACGGACCTTTGTCGGCAAGGTGATGTCTTTGCTTTTTAAGATGCTGTCTAGCTTTGTCATTGCTTTTCTCCCAAGAAGCAGGCGTCTTTTAATTTCGTGACTGCTGTCACCATCCATCTGACTACCACCGATTTTTAAATATATGTAGAGTTTTAAATATATGCCATCATTTCTCCAAGCAGTTTAGGTTCCTCTTATGTGGTGCTGCATTTTGTTTTGCTTGTTTTAGATCTTTGGATATTATATACTGGAGGGTGATGCGCTGGCTGCCCAGCTTGATGAAGAAAATATGGTTTTCCTGGTATCCAAAAAGCAGCGGATTTCAAAAGCAGGTAGGATCTTTTAATGTTCTCTCCCCTTATTGAACTTCTGCATAATGTGTCATCAGATGTGGGCAGAACAATATATTGCCCCTCCTCCTCTCCCAGTAAGCAACATTAGCCCGCCTGCCAGAGTAGTCAGAGTAGTAGCTCCACCTATTCGGTGAGCAGCTTCTGGTTGCAAATCTATACACACTTGCTGGAGAGAAAGCTCTATTGCACTTAGAAATGCTTATGTCTGAATAGACCTGCCCAGGATTGAACTGTGCCTGCTATTATAGGGTTCCTGTTAGACTCTTATGTAATTAAAGTAGATTTCCCAAACAGTTCGTTGATTTTCTTTTTTTTTAATCACAGCATTTCTGTTGTAACTCTGAGCTGCATTTTTCTCCAGCCAAAAGACAACTAGCAAACCCCTCCATTGGCAACACCAAAGTCGCACCCAAGAAACTCCCTATATGATCATATTGTTAATATAGCAGAAGTTCAAAATCAGAGCATGATGCTTTTTTATATATATAAAAGTATGTTTTTATAAGTCTCCAAAGATGCCATGTTATATATTTTTAATGCATTCTATGGCTCTGCTGCAACCATCTGTTCATTTGTACTCACCTATGAACTGCCCTTGACATAAACTACTTGTAATTCTATTGTAAATGCACTCACTGGTCTTTAGCCATTACTTATTTTATTTTATTTTACAACATTTATATACCACTTACTCAACAGAAAGGCCCTAAGCAGGTCACGAAGAACAATAGTAATTATCTACTTAAAATAAAGCATTAAAAACAAGTTGACATAAAAGTTTATAATTATTATTTTTTAAATATCAGTTTAGTTCTCACTGAGTTGGTATACTTGCCTCTGGACTGCACCATTTCTTTACAAGTAGGGATGGGGGAGAAATTCTACGGTATTTGTTCACGTTTAAAGGTGGATCTCCCTAATTTGCACTTTCCAAAACAATTACATACGATTTTGCAGTGTAGTTTTCCAGCCGACTAACATGTACGAAAATGCATATATTTGGTGAAAACTACAAATTTCTAAAATGAATTATATTAGGGGAAATTCCTCTGCAAAGACATGTCTGTTAGGCAAAATTCCATATAGATGTGTATTTCGCCTTGTTACTAATTGTGTGCATTACCTAATTCCTAGAAGTTTTGTTGTGCAGATTTTAGAATGTATTTTGTCTTTGGCAGGAGTCAAGAGACGTGATGTAATAAAGTGCATAGTGAAAGTACCACAGCTGGATTTTTTAGTAGTAGCATCACAAAAAGGGATGCTGTCCGTTTTCTCCAGCCAGGTAATTTTTGAAGTAAACTAGATTTGTTTTCTCTATGGTACAGAGCACTTTCTAATATGAACAGCTAATTACAATTGTAAATGCATCTGCCCTTTGGTTATATATGAGTGAGATAGTCAAGCAAACGTCTGCAATACAAGAGATATCTGGCTTCAGGTTCCTGAAATACGTAGGCATTTAATACAATTTTCATATTTTATTCAGGCCCAAATTCAAACAAAGTAAGAACAGGTCACTAGAAAGTGTTCTGTGGAAGCTTAATTGAAGTAAATGGCCATTGCACAAACTGAAAATGTGTTATTGCCCAGGCCACCTTAGTTTGGATGATGCATTAGTAGGAAAAGAAGCTCTTGGTATATTGTTTGCTTTCTCTTCCTTCTAAAACATAATGCACCCATCCTTTCCCACTCATTCAGACAAAGGCTTTCAGAAAAATGAGTAGCATACACAGACATTTAATACATATTGTTCAAAAAACTGTATGACTTAGAAACCAGTTCTCAGCATCCCAACACTCTATCGTGACAAAGATGAGAATTATGCAGGTAAAAATTCAGGATCATCCAGATAGGAGCAAGCTTGATGGTCAATGGCTGGGATCTCCAGGAGCAGGTTCAGTCTGACAAGTTAAGCCATTTCCACAGCAGGGTCCTCCATTTCCTTCCTTGTTGAGAATGGTAAAAGCCTGCAGCTGGGCATTTTGGAAAAGGCTTTGACAAGGGGCACCCAACTCCAGCTTCACATCTTTGTGGAGAGACCTGCTGGGATGACATAAGAAACTCTAATGGAATTTACAACAACGATGTAACCAGATTTTTTTTCAAAGTATGTGATGGAAACTGCTAAGAATGTAAAACATGGCAGTTCTACATACCTGCTCCTTACCTGCTCCAGGTAAACCTAGAAGAAACATCTGTGTCAGAAATGGAGGGGCAATTCAGTGCTGGCAGTAGTGAGCTAGGTAGACCAATTATCCAACTTGGGAGAAGGCAGCTTCTGTCAGAGGCTGGTCCATTAGGGCAAATGGGGCACTGCCCCACCATCCTCATTCTGCCCTCAATCAGTCCCCACCTGCCTACCTTTTTGTTTATAACCTGTCCATGGGTGGCAATGCCCTCCACCTTCTTCCTTTTGGGTCTCAGTTTTGCCCTTGCAGAGCGCAGAAGGGAGGAAAATGTGGGCAAAAGCAGGATTGGTTGGCTCCACATCTGCCCATCATGGGCTTAGGCACCACCTGCTGGTGGCCTCCCTGCCTTCCCAATGGGAACTACCATTGGAAGCTTCCCATTTTCCTAAAACAGAATATTAGAGTACAGGAGTGTACAAACATGGGAATCAGTATGACCACGCATAATTTGTGTGTGGAGGTCATGTACATATTGGTAAGCTGGTGAAAACCCATGTCTCAAATTTTATTAAAGATTTTCTTGTTTTACAGAAGTATGTGTAATGTCTCTCATATTTTTTCCATGTAACATTTTTACAAATCAGTTTCATTTGTTGAGACATTAGGAAGAAAAGGGGGGGGGAGATGGGGGGGTCGGGTGGTGATGTTTCTATTTTGCTTAATGTATGTAGGGTTTGGTGTCAGCGTTGTTCGTGCCGGTTCTCTGCTGTTCACTTGGTGGTGAGAGAGGTTGGGGTTGGCCTAGGGTGTGGTTGTTTGTTTGTGATTGGCTATGGTGATCTTTGTTTTCTTGTGTGAGTGGGGTGGGTGGGTGTTTTGGATCAGCCATATTGATTTGTATGCTGTTGGTGGATTATTGTCATTGTCTTGTTGGGCTGTGGTGATAAAGGGGAGCCATACTGGGGTAAAGGCGTCGTCTTCTGTTTGTCCCCGTGTCAGTTTCAGTTTATTTGTTAATTTTTCTAGTAAGGCTGTTTCCCATACTATTTGGTACCATTGGTCCATGCTTACTCCTGACAGGTCTCTCCAGTGTCTGGTTATGGTGTTTCTGGCTGCTGAAAGTAGGTGGGTTATGAGTGCTTTGTGGTGTAAATGGGAATTGTTGTCTTGGAAGATGTTGTCTCAAAATAATCAATTCCATAAAACGTTGGCAGTTACCACTTGTATTTCATCCTTTTTTCTTTCTTTTTTTGTAACCCGTTTAAGTGAGATGTTGGAAGAGGGGGAAGAAAAGCTATGCTAATAAATCTCCCAAGGATGCAACATCCTTTGTTTAAATGCAGCAGTAAACTACCCTGGCAGAAGGCACAAATATGAGGCTATGTCCTGTTTATTACCTTTATACTTCTGTAGCTCTTGTGCAAGTAGCCTATGAAATGTCGTGACTATGCAGTAATGCAGCAAAACACACCCAGGGTTTCAATTTAATTAGGACACAATACGCATCATAGGCATGTACAAGATAATAAAAGATCCTTGCAGGTGATTAAACACTAAAGCAAGGCTGAGACATTTGGGAACTACTGAAGGAATGTGGGAGAAAACCTATTCAGTATCCCTGTGCATTATATGTCTTTCACAGTTCTACGAAGAACTGCTCTAAAAAATAATCCCCCTCAGAGAGCTCCCAGCTGCTACCTAAGATTTTCCACTGATGTCACATTGACATCAGTACTTCCATTTCATTTCCAAAGCTCAAAAAAATATTACCTTACTTTTTGAAAGCTCTGCATGGAAATTTTGAGTCACATTAATATAACAGTCCCTGCTGTTGTGAAAACGGGAATAGGGTATGAGTGTGCCTACATCTTTGGCAGGTTATTAAGGATATAATCACACATGAGAATAAACCACTTGACTGATAGCTCAGTTGGTTGGAGCGTGGTGCTGATAATGCCAAGGTTGCAGGTTCGATCTCCGTATGGGACAGATGCATATTCAGGTTGGACTAGATGCTCCCCGGCGTCCCTTCTAACTCTGATTCTATGACTGTGAATGAGCATTCTGACAAATGGGAGGTTTCTCTTTGCAGTTTAAACCACACAAGAGGCACTTGTGTGAAAAGTCCCTTAACATTATTTATTAAATTTGGATGCCGCTTTTCATCCAAAGACCACAGGACAGTTTACAACATAAAACTACAAAATGAAAATACAATACAGGGTGGCCCAAAAGTCGGTATACTGTACTGCTTTAGAATCCACTTTCTTTGTTTTTGACTCAAGCTCTCACCATTCACAATATCAGTAAAGAAAAATAATCCATTTATTTATTTGTTTGTTTGTTTGTTTGTTTGTATTAGTATGCCTACTTTTGGGCTGCCCTGTATACATAACAACAACAACAAACCAACAACCCCCATCCCACAAACGCATTTAAAAAGCCATAGATTGTTTAATCAAGCAAATGCCTGGTTGTAGAGAGGCAGTCCTTGAGGTATCATGGCCCTGAGCTGTTTAAGGCTTTATAGGTAAAAAACAGCACTTTGAATTGGTCCTGGAAACTGACTGGCAGCCACTGCAATCAGGCCAAGTTTGGTGTTATATGCTCAACCCGTTTTGCCCCAGTGAGCAACCTGGCCCCTGAATTCTGCACCAGCTGAAGTTTCTGAACCATCTTCAGAGGCAGTCCCACATATAATGTGTTGCAGTGATCTAACACAGAGCTTACTAGAGCATAGGCAACAGGCGTTAGGTTATCCCTGTCCAAATAGGAGCGCAGCTGGACCACCAGCTGAAGCTGATGGAGGGCACTGTGTGCCACTAAGGCCACCTAAGCCTCAAGCAACAGCAGAGGATTCAGAAGTACCCTCAAGCTACATACCTGCTCCTTCAGAGGGAGTGTAACCTCATCAAGAGTAGGCAAACTCCCATCCAGCCTAGGGAACTACCCACTGACAGTCTTATCGGGATGGAACATCAGTTTGTTGGCTCTCATCCAGTCCATTACTGGGGTAAGACACCTCCACTGCCATACCTGCGGATGTAAAGAAGTTCCTTGATCAAAATGTTCCCAGCATCAATATGGACATAGCTGATCATTTGACACATTTGCTCATGACGACAAACATCTGGAATACAATGAAATAACAGTAAAAAAAATTGTCTTTTTATTCTAGAAATTATCTCACCACGAACATTTACCCCCTAAAATAATTTGAGGAAATTGTTTTTTAATGAGATAAATAGTTTACCGTCCACTTTTTATGACTAAACAAATGATCTTCAAATTTCCTGTCTTCAGCGAGATTCAGAAAAATTCCCATATTAGAACTGCCTAAAATCTCTGTAGTACCTCTAAGAGCAATATTTTTTTCTTGCACAAAACAGAATAACATTCAAAATAACTGTTAATATGTCTCAACATTTCTCTTTTTCTGCTTAAATTGCATTTTGTAGGCAATCATCAATAAGTCCATTTTTTTAATAAAAAACAAAAAACCAAGCTCTTCCATTTTAAAAAATTATCTCAATGGTCTGATGTGTTTTCATGAGTAACAGTTCAGTTCAAAGCCTTTGGCATACTGCAAATATTTGAATATGCTTCAGAGATGTTTGTCACAAACAATACACAGGGAAAGCAAACCAATGTCTTTGATACTTTCAAGTACACCAGCCAATTTTATGATTAACAGCTTTGCTCTTGGGAAGTTTTTTTCCGAAACCAGTTACTGGAAAATTTGCAGCCATCTTCCACTGCAGATGCCTAAAAATGAGCATCTTACTGTAATTTAGATCCATGTTCAATTATTTTTAATATCCTGCCTGTATCAAATTGAAAGAATGGCAAGACAAAAATCAAGCTCATATATATATAAGCAGTGCTTTTGGTGACAATACTCACTGGTATAGAATCCTGCCACCTCTTTTAATGCTGCCCATGGCAACCACCTCATTTTTGGGTATGGGCACCTCATTTTTAACTCAAGGAAGCACTGCATATGAGACTGTGGCACTGTGAGTTTACTAAAACAATGTCTGCGTGTGCTCTGCGTGGTTTTGATTTTGTCGCAAACATGCTCTAGCCACACATGTATTCTGAGAGCAGAGCAGGGGAAACACTGACTGCATCTCACACTTCCTTACCTGGTTCTTGAAATGTTTACCTGGTTGCCACCAACCCGAGTTTAAATAATATTATTTTTCTTGCAACTGCATCTCACTTACTTCTATGATTTTTCCTTGATTTTCCAGATGAGGATCCTGACGAGCACAAGCATTCCCGTAAGTTGACTCTTTTTCTCAAAAATTCAATTACAAATTAGACATCAGTGAAGTGAAACAAGTACCTGTGCATGTTTGTGTTTGAAGCTCCCATATAATTTTGCATTGTGAAATACACTGGGTTTGATAGCTTCATTATTTCCTATTCGAGTATGAAAATACTATCTATGGCATGATTATCTTACATATTTAGGTCAAAAGATGTATTAAAAGGCTGATTAAAAAGCTTGAAGGAGCGTCTCCACCCCCATCGTTCTACCCAGATACTGAGGTCCAGCACCGAGGGCCTTCTGGCGGTTCCCTCGCTACAAGAAGCCAAGTTACCAGGAACCAAGCAGAGGGCCTTCTTGGTAGTGGCACCTGCCCTGTGGAACGCCCTCCCACCAGATGTCAAAGAGAAAAATAACTACCAAACTTTTAGAAGACATCTGAAGGCAGCCCTGTTTAGGGAAGCTTTTAATGTTTAATAGGTTATTGTATTTTAATGTTCTGTTGGAAACTGCCCAGAGTGGCTGGGGAAACCATATAATATAATTATATTATATATTATTATGATGTAATTCATGAAATCAAACCTATTTTTTGAGTCGTAAATAGTGGCAATAAGATTACTTTGGTAGTTACTCATCCATCTTTAATTTACAAAAAAAGCTTGGACAAAGCACTGACCACATTTCTTGAAAACTTGATTGTATTCTGACAACTTCCTGCAGTTTAGGAAAGTGTGGCTGCAATGTTACATATACTTCCTTGGGAGTAAGTCCGCTGAACAATTCTGAGTAAACATGCAAGTGACTTGTTCAAAGACTACCAAGTAGTTATTTATTAAAAATCATGGTACCAATGATGAAAGACTCTCTACTTTTGTATATGGGGGGGGGGAGATACAGATCTGTGCATTTACACACATACAAAGTTATCTCATTTTAAACCGTATGAGTTATGCAGCTGTGTTTCTTTTTTGCTACCAAAATGCTGAGAAACCAAACTTAACTGAAATGTACACATAACTATACAGGTAATGTAGTTGCCATATTGTGTCAGGGCTATTCCCGCTACTACAAAGGGAGTCCACTTTCGCATCATCCATTCATTCACCGTATAGATTTTCCCCATCGCTACAATGAAGATTGCACTGCACATTCCCTTTTGGAACACCTTTTTGCCATTTTGGTTCAGAAAGCCCATCTAAACTATCACAAACATTTGATGCTGTGCTGCTAATCCCATTTGGAGTTAATAGGCGTCTGAAGACAGAGAGAGGTTCCTTCAGATTAGGTGCATCATTTATCTGGGGACTAACTGCTGCCAGGTTGTTTGAAGAGAGTTGAGCTTGCTAGTTAGAGATTATTGTATTTAATGTCCAACAGCTGCTGCTGGCACAACAGTGAGTAATAAATCAATTCATTAGGATAACTTCTCTTCCCTGCTCTTGATTATGGGGCAATATAATTTTCTCTTCTGACTGCATTCCCCAGGTGATCATATTACTTGAACTATGTTCTTATTATAAACATTTTTCCCATAGCAGGCCTGCCGGTTCCTTGCTGTACTCATTTGGACACAAATTATATAATTCTGCCATTGCAACTGATTCTCTTTTAACATGGTTAGATCTGGTTCATAATCATCACAGGCTGTAAACAGAACTTGAGGTTCTGCAATAATTTTGACAGCTATAGCCTCTTAAATTTAATTTAGAATTCATTAGCGTTTCAGATTGCTCTATACAAATAGCAGAGCACAGGGCAATATATCTTTGTGTAGCACCCAACACACGATATGAAATTAATTTATAGCTGTGTTGAGGCGCAGAAATGTTAAAGGGTTTCCATCATAATCGGATGCAAGCGACTACAAAATGTCTGAAACACTCAACGTTTCAATTTCAGCTTGATTCTAGGGATATTGAAAAGCTAGGATGTAATCAACATGTAATCAACTATGAAAGTTATATTATAAATTATTAAAATACTTCCACATCTTTATTCCACTGGCACAATATTTGTAATTCCATAAACACAACTTTTTCACCAAACTCTGGCAAACTCAACTTTTACAGTTGTAGTTGATACTTCGACTGTAAATATTCCTTGAATTATTCTTCTTTCCATAAATCATTCCTAAGGAGACTTTCAGACATCAATTAAAGATAAAGGTTGCAAGCTAGCAAAGAGGTTGATTCTGCCAACGTTTCTCTTTAACCAGGACACCTCCTGGATCACTGGATGTGATTACCTGAGTCAGCTCAAGCGTGTTGTTGCTGTGACGGAAAGAACCATCATCATCTGGGATTATAAAACACAGGGCACTGCCATGGTAAGACACTGAGTCATGCAAGTGTGTGTATGTGCATATGTGTTTCTGGGGTAGGGGGACAAAACAAAAATCCAAAGAATGTTTTTTTGGTATTGTGCTACAGTTTAACTGAACTATTCTACATTCTTGTTCGCATATCTCATACTGAAGCATTATAGCTAGTAAGCAGCTGTATAGAGACTGGAGGCTGGATTCAGTTCCTACATGCAGCAAATATCCTATCAGATCATGAAGGGATATAAGCCTGGGCAAGAGAGCTGTAGCGTCTCTGTCCAATTAGGACAAAAATAGACTTGACATGAGAAATCTGTGATTGGACAGTCTGGTAACTTTGGGGGGGGTGTTATTGTTAAAAGTAGCAGCAGGGGACTAGATTGGGACTACAGCACTGGGGGCGAGGATAATTCTTCCTTACCATTTCACTGTTTTAAATGGCCCAGCTTCTGTTGGTCACAGCTTCTGTTGGTCACAGACAGGTACCCAAAGCGTCTGCTCTACCACTGTGCTACAGCACTTCACTTAACACTCTCTCTCTCTCTCTCTCTCTCTCTCTCTCTCTCTCATACACACACACACACACACAACACACACAAATTCTTTTATCAGGATAGTTATCATAGTTTCTCCCAAAGCATTCTGGAAATCATAGTTTGTTGATATTGTTAGCCAAGCTAATAGCTCAGCTGAAACCGGGCAAAGCCCCAGGGCCCGACCTGATCCCTGCTGAAGCCATCAAACTACACCCAAAATGGTGGGCTGGCATCTTGGCCAAAACCTTCGATGCAATCAACGCTTCCGGTCTCATCCCCAAAATATGGAAGGAGGCCATTATAGTACCAATTCATAAGAAAGGTTCTCCAATGGAGCCGGAAAACTACCGTAACATCAGCCTCCTTTCGATCATAGGGAAAATTTATGCCAGCTTTTTGCTGACTAAACTATTGCGATGGGTAGATGAGACTAACCAGATTGGCCACGAACAAGCAGGGTTCAGAATTAAACGTTCTACAACTGATCATGCGATAGTTCTTTATCATCTGGCACGGAAGTACTCCTCCCCTCCCCGGGGCTACCTCTGTGCTGCCTTCTTAGATCTAAAGGCAGCCTTTGACAGCGTTCCTAGAAATATTCTTTGGGAGAAACTTGCGAAACAGGGCATTGATAGAAGACTCTTATGGCTTATAAGTCAGCTCCACGAAGGTACCCTTGCCAGAGTGAGACTTACTCCTGCGGGCGACCTCACAAATTCGATACCAATAAACAAGGGAGTGCGCCAAGGATGTATATTGGCTCCCTGCCTATTCAACCTATTCATCAGCGACATACGAGCACCCCTAGTTAACTCATCTCCAAGTACACACGCGCCTAGACTAGCGGATTACCGCTGCCCACTCCTTTTATATGCGGACGACGCGGTACTTCTATCTTATACACGCGTTGGACTAACCAGAGCTCTGAAGATCTTTGCCACGTATTGTCAACTCAACCAATTAACCATCAACCATGTTAAATCCAAGATTCTGATTTTCTCCAGAAGCCGGAGATTATACGATTGGAAGCTTGGTGGAGCAAAAATAGAGCAAGTCCTAAAATTTCAATACCTTGGAGTTATTTTTCAATACAATTTGGGGTGGAAAGCTCAAATTCAACACCTACTTAACAAGGCCAAAACTCTGTCATATGCGCTCCTCCGATTTTTCTTTTCGGATGGAGCTTTGCATGTTCCCTCGGCCCTAAAGGTGTTCAAGGCAAAAGTGGTTGCCGTGCTTGCTTATGCTGCCCCGCTCTGGGCCGTGATGACAGATCTTGCTCCCCTTGAGACTCTGCAAAACCAATTCCTACGTCGGCTCCTAATGCTCCCCCTGTGCGTAAGCAACGCAGCCATGCGACTAGAACTGAAGATCGCATCCTTAGAAACTTGCCTGTGGAAGCAAGTCTTCAACTATTGGTTATCATTGTGGCATAGATTACCAAACCATTACCTTGTCCAATGCTTATGGTGAGATGAATTCTCTAGCCTTTGGACTAGTAGAATTCATGCCAAACTCCTGAGTTATGGAATCTCTCCTTCAGATTCCCTAAAACTAGACCAAATCACTGCTCAAAGACTGATCCGCCAAAGACTGGATGACATCGACTTACAGCGAAATTATATGCTGGGGGGAGGTGTTTGTTCGCCCCAGAACATTGGTATCACTTTAACTTATTGCGTTCCATCATACCTCTCCTCCCTTTCGACTGTTGCCCATAGGCTGGCCTTCACCAAAGCGAGGTTTAACGTTTTCCCCTCCAATGTCCTGAGACATAGATTCTCAAAGGGCCAAGCCTCCGCCATGTGCGAATGTGATAAGGAGACGCCGGAGTCGCTCCAGCACATTATGTTCACTTGCCCCTTGTTCAATGTGCCACGGGCAAATTTGTTGGGATCAATCATACAGAAACTAGAGGGTACCCCACCAAAATTCCACCTTGCCCAAATCTTGCAGGATAAGGATACCCACACGACCCTGAAAGTGGCTAGGTTCCTGGTCGCTGTCCTTACCCAAAAGCGGCGCCAAGGAGCACTTCAAGCTAATTAAGGCGTAGTATGCCATTCCATCTTATAGCATTTTATTGTTATAGTGGTGTTTTAGCGGCTGTTTTTTCCCACGTGCACAAGCTGTTATTTATGTGTTGTTTTTACTTGTATGGGCCTATGGCCGTAATAAAATTTTATGTATGTTGATATTGCTGAGAATCCCTAGTGTCCCCCTTATAGAACTACAGTTCTCAGGTTTTTTAAATGGGGGGGGGGTCAATATTAAACCTGTTTCTCTATGGCATAGGTATAACTCAGGGGTACAAACTACTTGTACAAACTCCTCTCCTGGTATGTCCCACAGAGGAACTTACGGTCTTCAAATAAAAACATCCTGAAGGTCCCAGGCCACAGAGAGGTCAGGCTGGCTCTTTCTGCAGGGCCTGCAAGACAGAGCT